TCGTCGTTCCACGACGGCTGTCGGGTGGTCGTTTCTCTCAGATTTCTGTGAGAAGCGTCGAACCTCAGCCGGAGCAATCTGCCCATCATAGTGATGAGGTGCCGGGGAGAGCTTCGAGGCATATGGGATCAAGGGAAGAGAGGGTCACGGGGAAGTTCCGTATTCGGCCTGACGATCTGGCGTTAGAGAATGAGGCACTGACTGCTGTGCTCTCCCCGAACGTTAGCTTGCTCGACATAAACTGGGCTGTGTATGAAGCAGCGCGCCGTCTAAAGCCGCGAACTCTTGCAAGGGGATCGTTTGAGCTGAAGATGAGAAGGCGAATTGCACAGCTTCAGGGGAAAATCGAGATGGTTCGGAACCAGGCGTCGCAGTGTGTGATTGATTTCATCGTAAGTGTACGAAATTTTACGTCGCCAATTCGCAAAATATCTGCGAACTTGCGGAATCATCATCACATATTGAATAAGGTAGTCCTTCTTGTTATCAAGGAGAGATTTGTCGAGAGGGTTCGAGTTCTGGGGGCTACAAAGCGGTCCCTAGAAAAGCGGTTGCGGTGAATAGTGGACAATACTATCTTTCATTCCGACCCCAGCCGGTGGTTCGAGCCTTCAGCGCCTGCACCCGACAAGATGCCATCAGTCGAGCAGGTTGAGGAATTCTGGGGGGCAATTTATAGTCACGTTCCTCGTCTCATGACGGAGACTCCAGCTCTTCAAGCATTTCGTGCGTTTTGTGAAGAACATCGTCGGCAGCGCGCGGAGTTCACCCCAGTCACTCAGGAGGAAATTCAAGCTGCGCTACGAGGCATGAAGAACCATGCCGCTCCGGGTCCAGATGGCATCAACGCCTTTTGGTGGAAGAAGTTTACCTCGGTTCATAGCCATCTGGCTCGGATTTTCACATCGTTCATCGATGGTAGCGTGATGCTTCCTGAGTAGTTGGTGGAGGGGAGAACTGTGCTGCTTCTGAAGAAGGGAGACTTGTCTGACCCGGCAAATTACCGGCCGATCACGTCCCTGAATACGCTCTATAAGCTCTTCACAGGAGTCTTAAATGAGCGTATTTTGCACGATGTACAACCCGTGTGGCGGCAGATNGGCATGAAGAACTATGCCGCTCCGGGTCCAGATGGCATCAACGCCTTTTGGTGGAAGAAGTATACCTCGGTTCATAGCCATCTGGCTCCGATTTTCACATCGTTCATCGATGGTAGCGTGATGCTTCCTGAGTAGTTGGTGGAGGGGAGAACTGTGCTGCTTCTGAAGAAGGGAGACTTGTCTGACCCGGCAAATTACCGGCCGATCACGTCCCTGAATACGCTCTATAAGCTCTTCACAGGAGTCTTAAATGAGCGTATTTTGCACGATGTACAACCCGTGTGGCGGCAGATTTATGAACAGCGGGGGGCGAAGCGGTCGCTATCAGGGTGCAAGGAGAGTTTACTTGTCGATCGGTGCATATTGCGCGATTCGATACAGTATCATCGGCACCTGTCAGTGGCTTGGGTCGACTATCGTAAGGCATTTGATAGCACGAGCCATGAGCTCACTTTCCTGCTACTCGAGTGCCTTGCTGTAGAGGAAAATATCGTGAGGTGCATTAGGGATCTTGCACCACTTTGGAGGACGCGCTTCACCATAACATCTGGTGAGGGTCGGCTTACTTCAGGGTTGGTGCAATTTAGGAGAGGAGTTTTTCAGGGTGTTGGAAATCCTGTCAGCTGACAGGTCCCTCACACTAACGCACGCAAGGCTCATCCATTCTCTGCCCACTCACGCACACCTGACGCGCTCACCTCAGATGACTGGCGGTTATTAATTCCAGCACCTGAGGCGCCACTTCCTGGACCGCTCTAAATTACCATACGAATTATAATGGAAAAGGTCATGTGACCACAAAATTAGGGCACGTGGCACCTATAAGCCCGTGTCTCGCTCTCATTCGTTTCCGGGAATTCGTTAAAGGAACTTCTCTTTGTACCGCTCAATTCTCGCATAATCGGATTAATAAATAATCGTGTCAGCTCAGTTATTATCTATTCAAAGAATTCGGTCCGCTCTTTAGTTGAATTTACTCAGTGACTTTACCTGTGACAAGTGTAAAATAAACATTATTATTGACAATTATACGTTTTTTTGTAAAACTACGTGCACGTGTTCCGTTCATTCTGTGACCCGCTCACCACTCTCCACAAGCACACATTTTTTCATCAATACCTCCACTAATCCAGATCCCTCAAAAAACATTGGTCCTTCGAGCCGGATTTGTGGGGTATTTCTTTCGGTTTTCGGTTTTTGTTGGGTTTTGGCGGGAGTGGAAGTGACGCGTTCAGTGGTGCTCAACCTACGGAGACCAGCTCGTTGGCTCAGCGCACGCAGTGGACCTCAACCAGTCTAGCTCTCCAATCATCAGGGAACTGCATTACCGGCCCGCGGGAATATTTGAATTTTGGAGCAGCTCATCCCCGGGACTTTTTCTTAACTGCAGCGTTCCTGCACTGGTCCAGCTCAACATCACTCACTCGGCTAAGTAGCATTTAATTACCTCTTGCTACTTTTGCCATTTTTTTGGAATTTTTTGGAGCATTCAACTTTGTTTTTTTTGGCTACCGCTCCCTTTATATTTTCCAACCCTTTTTCGTTTTTTTTTTGAATTTTTTAATAAATTCTCGCGCCTGCTCAACGGAACCGCTCACTGCTGCTACCTTCTAAATTAAGATTCTTCGGTGTTGTTACTGTTGCCGCTCAAACGACCGGATACTTAATTTTATCGCTTCTCATTGCTCACTGCTTGGCTTTTGGGGTCGCCTTACTTAGGTTTTTTCGGGTTCATTTTTTTTGAGCTGCTCACTTATTTTCAATTATGGCATCATTTGAGGCGACCATTAGCCTGAATAACTCTCGGGCAGCGTTCATCGAACGCGTTTACAAGGAGCTGCTCACAGAAGAGGCGAAAAGCCTCACAATCTCCAATCTCCAGGGTAAACTCGAGATCCTGGAGAACTACTAGGAAAAATTCGAGAGCACTCATGAGAAGCTCATCGCTGGCAGCGGCAAGATCGAAGGGATCCTTGAATTGCCGTACTTCAAGGACCATCGGTTCGACATTACTATCGGGCATTATCATGAGGCAAGGGGTATTTTAAGCCAGCTCATTGATAAAAGGAGGATCTCAGGTTCATCTCGTCGGTCTCTCGCGTCTGGGACGGCTCAGCCCACATACTCCAAGCGTTATCTCCCTGAGATTTCTCTGCCCAAGTTCGGAGGGGCCTATGCGGACTGGCGCTCGTTCCGCGATCTTTTCGCGTCTCTGGTCGGCTCGAATACGGATCTATCCAACGTGGAGAAGATGCATTATCTTCGTACTAGTCTCTCAGGGGAGCCAGCTCAACGCATCGCGAATCTTACGATCTCGGATGAGTCATTCTCGATTGCATGGGAACTGCTCTTGTCTCGCTACGAGAATAAGCGACTGCTCATTTCAGCTCATTTGGAACAACTCCTCAGTCCCCCAACCATGACTTCTCACAGTGCCAAAGAGCTCAATGTCCTGCTCACTGTCACCTCTGAGGTACTTAACGCTCTGGAGGCTCTCGGCTCCCCAACCTCCCAGTGGGACCAGGTGATCGTACATACGGTCTCGCAACGGCTCAGCTCAAAGCTTCGTGAAGCCTGGGAGGTCAAGGTCGGTTCATCGGCGGAGTATCCTTCATACAAGGACTTCAAGGATTTCCTCACTGGGAGAGCTCGCGCGATGGAGAGCATCGAGATTAACTCGGTTCCTCGTGCTCCTGCCACAAAGCCCTCCAATGTCAGCTCATCCAAGCAGTCGACCGCTGCGAAGGTTCACCACGGCACCGCTCAACCACCACAAAAATCGAGGCCAGCTCTCAAGTCCGCTCCATCGGGGAAGGTCACGTACCCGTGCTCGATGTGTGAGGCAGACCATTACCTCACATCCTGCTCATCCTTCCGTCAACTTTCGGTATCAGCTCGTAGGGAGGTAGTAGAGCGTCGCTACCTCTGCTACAATTGCCTTGGTCGGCACTCGGTGAGGGACTGCAGGTCCAAGACCAAGTGCCAGTATTGCGGGGGCCTCCACCACTCGATGCTCCGCAACCAGCCATCGAGTCAGCCTCAAAAGGCCGTTCCGGTGGTGACCTACACCCACGGAAACGACATCCCCAAGGTGGTGACTGGTGACCAAGGCCAGTCAACGTCGTCGGAATGAAGATCACCAGCTCAGATTGCCGTCTCCTGCTCAGGTCACCATTCAGATTCCGGATCCGCTCAAGACTTCCGCCCTGGGGTCCTTCTGGCTACCAGCCTTGCGCTTTTGGTACGCCCAGATCGGCCAGCTCATCAGGTTCGTCTACTCATCGATCCAGGGTCGGAAATCTCTGTCATCTCAGACCAGCTCGTTCGTCAGCTTGGACTGTTAAGGCTCAAGACAGCTACGAATATCGGGGATTGGAGACACGGCATCTGGGCCGGCATTAGGCAAGGTTAGGCTCACAATACAGTCCACTTGCTCTCACTTTCAGCTAAGAGTTTCTGCCTATGCTCTCGGCCAGCTCACAACCTCATTACCGACGTTCTCACCAAGTCAGCTCACATGGGATCATCTGGAAGGACTCAAGCTCGCTGATCCCGATTTTCTCACACCAGCACCAATTGACATCCTTCTTGGCGCTGATGTCTATGGACAGCTCATCTTACCACAAGTCATCACCAATGGACCAAACTCACCATCGGCTCAGCTCACGCGACTTGGATGGATCGTATTCGGACCAACGGAAGGTCCTGATACTACTCAAGTAGCAACTTCTCATCTAACGGTCACCAACGAGGATCTCAACGAACTGCTCACCAAATTCTGGATCCAGGAAGAGATCCCTGGGACACCAGAGGTTCAGCTCAACGAGGAGGAAGCGCAGTGTGAAGAACACTTTCAACGGACCCACTCACGAGATGCATCTGGCCGCTACATTGTTCGGATACCGCTCAAATCTCCAGTTTCCTCGCTAGGAGATTCACGATCGTCTGCACTCGCTTGCCTCCATCGTCTGCTCAGGAAACTCTCACGTGATGAGGTTTATCGTCAGCTCTACACGGACTTCCTCAGGGAATATGAAGAGCTCGGCCACATGCGTCGAGTCTCCGGACAGCTCGCTAGATCAGCTCATCAGCGCCAGCTCAATGGGGGGGCACGGGCACCGAAATGACCTTAGCACATGAGGCCTCGGCTTCAGGAGGGTTGAGGGTTTCGGGCCGTCCGTGTTCTTCTCGGGCTGACGCTCCTCCGGAATATTTCTTCCCTCATCACGGAGTTCTCAGGGCGAGCAGTGAGACAACGAAGCTCAGAGTTGTTTTCAACGGCTCCAACAAGACCAGCTCAGGACAATCGTTGAACGAGATTATGCACACGGGTGAGAAGTTGCAGAAGGATATCTCGGATGTACTTCTCTTTTCTCGGCGGAAACGGCTCATTTTCATGACGGACATAACCAAGATGTTTCGTCAAATTCGGGTACATGCGGAGGATTGGCCACTCCAACAAATACTCTGGACCGACTCAAACGGAGATATCGCCACATATCGACTCATCACGGTCACATATGGCACTAGGTCAGCTCCATTCCTCTCAATGCGTGTTCTTCATCAGCTCATTGAGGATGAAGGATCGAACTATCCTCTCGCTGTGGAACCGCTCATGAAAGGACGATATGTTGACGATATCTGCGGGGGTGCTGACTCAGATGAAGAGCTACTCAGGACCGCTCATCAGGTGACACAGCTCTGTCTGTCAGGAGGCTTTCCGCTAGCCAAATGGCACTCAAATAGCCCAGCTCTACTCACATCTCTTCAACCTGACAGCACCTCTCAAGAACAACGATTCATAGAGGACTCGCTCACCAAGATTCTAGGGGTTTCTTGGCATCCTGGAACGGACAACTTCAAGTTCTCCGTCACTCAGCCTGAGACCAGCTCAATAACGAAGAGAATCATTTTATCGGAAACGGCTCAACTCTTCGATCCACTGGGTTTCCTAGCGCCAGTGGTCATACGAGCGAAGATATTGCTCCAGGCTCTATGGATCGAGAAACTGGGATGGGACGAACCAGTTTCCCAGACAACTGCTCAACGATGGAGCCAATTCAGGGAGGAGCTCACACAGTTATCAGAGATCACCATACCTCGGTGGCTTGGACTGCTCACGGATTCCGTCGTCGAAGTACACGGTTTTTCCGACGCATCACAAGTGGCGATGTCAGCCGTGATCTATCTCAAGGTTCTCAACAAGGGAAAATCACAACTCACATTGGTTTGCTCAAAAACGTAGGTCGCACCGCTCAAACGGCTGACAATCCCACGACTAGAACTCACTGCGGCTCTTCTCCTGGCCAAATTGACTAAGTACGTCAAGGACCAACTCAATCTCACGAACACCACCATCTGGACCGACTCATCGGTCACACTCACGTGGATCAGCTCACACTCCTCAAGATGGAAGAAGTTCGTGAAAAATCGGATGGCACTCATCCAGGCGCTCAATCCGCAGGCTCATTGGAGATTGGTACCGGGCAAGGAGAATCCTGCAGACTGTGCATCTCGAGGTCTATCAGCGCACCAATTGGTATCTCATAAGCTCTGGTGGAAAGGGCCACCATGGCTTCATCAAGACTGCTCATCATGGCCAACTCACGCTCTGGAAAAAGACCTCAGCGCAGACCTCGAGGAAAAGCCAGGAGTTCTCCTACATGTAAAAGCTCATCCAATCGCGCTCTGGAATCTCGTCGACAGATTCTCATCGTTCAACCGACTGCTCAGGGTCACAGCAATCTGTCGACGATTCATAGCTCGGCTCAGGAAAACCCCCAACTCTTCTCTTCGATACCCGCTCACTCTTGGTGATCTTGAAGAGGCTCGCATCCTCTGGATCAAACTCACGCAGGCAGCTCACTTCAAGGATCAACTCAGAGCGATCTCACGAGGGGAAAGGTTCAGCAAATCCCACCCCCTCACTAATCTCACACCCTTCATCGATCGCCAAGGGGTATTGAGGATCGGAGGACGGCTCAAGTTTGCTCACATAGGCCCGGAGAGCCGGAACCAAGTGATTATTCCGAAGGAATCTCAACTGGCTCAGCTACTCATCGGACAGGCTCATCTAAGGA